CCCCGGCCGCCCGCCGCCCGCCGGGGACCCACTTGTAGCCGCCGCAGGATCAAACTCAGTTCACCTCTCGCCTCCTCTTCCTTCTCTCCGGCGTCTCGCTGAGCCCGGCACCTACAGACGGACGAGATGAGACACGCGCGCGCACACACGCGCGCACACACACACACACACACACACGGTGCGCACTCGCTTGGTGCCCGCTTGGCTGCTAGGCTACTTCCCTCCCTCTTTTCCTCCTTCCCCCGTCCCTGGCCCCCTCCACCCGCTCCGGGCAGTCCTGCGTGGGTCGGAGCCCCCGCAGCGGAGGTCCTGGCTGGGCTACCCTCTGGGCTGGAGGACGACACCAGAAGCCCCGGAACCTGGGCCTGGTGTTCCAAGCGCCCATCCAGAGGGATCCCGCTGGCTCTTATCTCCCGGGACCCCTCATTTGCCACTGTCTAGCCCGGGTCCCCCATTCCCGGGCCGCTGACGCTGCAGCCCCTCCTCACCAACACTTGGAGGCCCCCCACCCCGACTCCGTAGTCCCTGTCCGCTGCTCGCAGCGTTGGAGGAACCCCGACGCTGGTCCCAGAGAGTGTCCCGCGCCAGGGACGAATGCCGCGGTCCCGGCACCCGGAGGCAAGAAGAGTCGGGTACAAACGTTCATTGATACAAATGAATAAATAAACAGGCCTGGTGAACGCGGCCACCTTCTGAGCGCCAGCCGCAGAGGGCCCGGCGCGCGTGCCTGTGTGAGGTGTGCGTGTGGCCCGGGGCCGCACCTGTGTGTGTGCGCGCGTGCGTCCCCGAGTCGGCCCGACGTCTGTGGAACGAGGTGGTGTGTCTGCGGGTTGGTTATGTTCTCGCTGAGGCTGTATTTGTGTCTGTGCATTCATGCATCTGCCTGTCACTGGCCTCTCCGCCCGCGAGCCTGCGTTAACACGGAGCTACGCACATACCAAGCCCGGTATCTGTCTAGCCAGGGCCTGGCTCTCCCTCTCCCGTGCGTCCTGTTTCTCCCAGCCGCCTTGGCTCTGTCGTCCACTCTCACTCTCCTGGAGCAGAAGACTTCATACCCCTCCTTAAGTTTAGGGGGGTGTGTGTAAGAGAAAGTAGACTCCCCTTTCGATACCTCCCTCTGCATCCAGTACGAGTTCTGCTTTAGCGTTCACTAGAAGAGAATGTGTGTGAGCGTTTGAGGTGCACGAGCAAGTGTTGTCCCACCCTGCGTGAGCGCTTCCCAGGCTGATGTGGCCAGCGATCTAAAAGCTGGTCTCTTTCTCCTAGCGTTGGGTCATCTCGGCTTTCACTCTCTGCCCTAGAACCCCACCTGGTGGACAGTTGTAGTACTACAGATTCAGGGGAAAGCAATTCCCCCTCCCCCTTCCCCCAATCTTCTTTCCTAGTAGGAAATCAGTTCCAAAGGGCTTGCTTGTAGGCTCCCAAAATGCTGCACTCTCGCCTCAGTGCCCTCAGACTTCCACCCCAGGCCGCTTTGGGCCCGAACACTCACGAAGTACCTGTGAGTACACTGTGGCCCCAGAAATAGAAAGGTGTGGAACACCACCAAGGCAGGAAGGTTTCATAGGACAGTCAAATCTGGACTGGCAGGAGAAGGAAAAGGGGCGTTAGGGGAGGGGCGGGGGGGATGGCCAAGAGTGGTGAGGCCAGCACCGCTTCACTCCCCATCTGTGGATGAAGCTGGGGTAAAATGGGGCTGGGGAAGGTTGTTGAGGCATGCTGTCTTGAAGAGCCCTAAGAATCTAGCCTGTCCCCCAGACACAGCACTGGCCCTGAGGGGGTGAAATGGGCAAGATGACCCTGGGGAACCCACCTGTGGAGACATCCATCTCCAAAAGGATGGACATGCACACAGCCTTCTAGAGATGCAAACAGACGCCCAGGCAGATACTGAGCACACACACAAAGGTGCACAGACACAAAATTGGAGGATCATTGTCTACAGACCTCCTAGCTCCCAACCCAACAATCCCCAGGAGGTATCTGCTCTGTGGAGATCACGGCCCCAAGAAGTGCCCCCCAAACTCTAATGGCCTTCCCCTCACCCCCTTACTATCCTCCCCAGAGACAGCTTTTGTGCACTTTCTTCTTCCAGTGCCTGGTCTCTCTTCCTGGTCAGGTGTAGAGTGGGTGTTGGGAGGGGCATGGGGAAGAAATTCTGAGTCCTCATTGCCCAGCTGCCACGTGAGGTCCTGGGGAATGTCCACAGGGACAGTACAGTCCCACAGCAATAGCTGCTGGATTTCCTAATTGGAACTTTCTACTCAAGTCCCAAAGAGTACTTAGGAAAAAAGAAAAGGAAAGCCATGGTATTATAATTCTCTAAAATTTCCTGGAAGAGCTATGGAGAGTAGGAATGCTGGGACTGTGGCACAGGCTTGCTAGAGGGTGACTAGGACAGAGGAAAGTCAACAACCATCTTCACCAGTCAGATTCCATCAGAGGACATTCTTTCATCAGCCTCAGATGGACTTCTGACTGGCCCCAGACTGAGCCATGCTCCAGATCTCAGTCTGATCCACAACCCTGACCTAGAGCACACCCCAGAGCCTAACTCCAGACTGATCCTTAATCCCAGTCACAGATTGACCCTGTCCCTGACCCCAGACTGAGTCTCAGTGCTATGAAGCATCATCCAATCCCACCTTTGGCCACAAGTGTGTAGCTGGCCCCTTGTGGACCACCCCAAAGCTGGGGCATAGCTCAACCCATGAGGCTGTGGGAGCAGGAGTGTGCTCTAGAACAGAATATTTTTCTCATTCTGGACTTAGAATGTATTTGCCTGTTCCCCAGTGAGCATCTGTCTCTCTCCTGGCTGGCTGTAGCTAATATCACAGGAACTACTCACTCCACCCCCCACATGCAAACACACACTTTTCCATGAGACCAGGGCACACCCCAGGACTTCAGCTGTTGCCTGCAGTGCTGTGAAGACTTGGTTCAAGGCTTGCCTTGCATGTACCTGTAGCCCTTCAGGCACTTTGAAATCAGTCAGAGCAAAATGGGAAATCAGTCTGGGGATGCTGGTTCAAGTGGAGTTTTGTCTGGATGAGACTTGCGATGCTTGGCAGGAGAGGCTGGGAGAATACAGAGGACCTGCCTCATGCACTCTCGGAATATGCAGACAATGGGCAAGGCACAGCCTCTGCACCCTATTCCCAGGCTTAGAAAACACACACACACAGGGGCAGCGCTGCCTAAAGTCCTGCTCCTCACTGAGGTACAAAGCTGCCCAGGAGTGCTGTTTGTCCTGGACTTTCTACACCCAAGGGATTGAAGATATTGAATCTTCCAAGTCTCTTAAAGGTGTGCAGTCCTGTATAGCCAACAAATCTCTCCCACAGCTATTATTTTATTTCATCTCCACAACAGCCAGTGAAGATGAAATAATATTATTCATCTTCACTGGCTATTGTGGAGATGAAATAATATTATTTTTAGTATTAGATTTACATATCACTTTTTGTATTGATGAGAAAACTGAGGCCCAGAATCCCCCCTCCCTATTCCCATTGTATTGTCCTGTCTCCTCTCCCACCAAACCAGCACACATTCCCATGAGCCGTGAGATCCTGTCCCACGTGGATACTCCCTCTTTGTTTAAAGCCCATGCTTCTGAC